GGGGGGCGGTTGTGTCCGGCCCGGACGCCGGCTGTCGCTGAACCGAGCCAGCCCGGCCCACCCGGTGGCCTCTCCTCCTCGAGCTTCCGGGAGCCGTCGCGAGCGAGTGCGCCTGCGCGCCGCCCCAGCCTCGCGCCTCGCTGCTGTCCTCGCGCCGGCCAGCGGCCCGACGGTTCCTGCTGTGCTTCCCGCCCGGCGTCTCGGCTCCGTAGCGCACCGACGGGCGGCATGTCGCGGCGGCGGCACAGCGACGAGAATGATGGTGAGTGCTCTCGGCCCGACCGTCGAGGCCGCGACCGGGTGGGAACCGAGGTTTGGCTTCTTTGGCTTTCGGCCTTGAGGGAAAGGACGAGGGGCCCTCCCCCGGGAGCTTTCGAGGAGCCACTGAGGGAAGGAGGGTGGCACAGCGTGGGTGTGGCGGGGCCGTTTCAGGAAGGCGACTGCCCCCTCCTCCCCGCCCCAACTCCTTTAGTCGTCGGCCAGTCGTGGGGACAGGAGGCCTGTGAACCCCATGGATAGACCCCTGGTTTCTCCGGGACGCTTCAGAATTTAGTCCTGCACCGCCGAGCAGGGAAGTACATCTGTGTCTGCTGCCACCTCTCAGGGTCGGTGACAGGGACGCACTGCTCCCAGTGTCTCTTTTTTAATCCTCAAAGCAGCACTTGAAAAGGGCTCTCTAAAGACATTGCTAAAGGAAAGGAACAAAGCCATGATTGAGAGATCTGATGAGTTGCAGCCTGAACTCTGCTCCTGTGCCGGTTATCCCTTGGTTTGCTTTCTTTCAAGCTGTAGGGGAAGGATTCTATCTCTTAGGCACACCCAAGAGGTCACTAATAAACAGACACATGTTATGTTAGATTTTGAACTGGCGGTAAGCGTATTTCCCTCGTGCAAGAAAGAGGGCTGGAAAACTAACTGGAGAACTCTTGAGAGATTTGGACCAGGGGTCCCCATCTCCATTTGGATGGTCTTGCTCGTAGAAATCATGGTGTTGCCGTCAAAAAAACTAAGAATTTTGCTAGTTAAAACGTGGTAAAGGTACTAACATCACACATAAGTATTACAGAAACCAGTCAAGAACAAATCTACAAAAAGAAAGTGAGAGTAATTGTTATGAATATTTTAGCGTGTTATTTATTGAAGAGATTGTATCATAATGGTTAAGAGACAAGACTTTGCAACCAGAGGGTTTAGGTTCAAAACTAGACCCTACCATTTACTTTGTGATCTTGCCCAGGTTGTATAACCTCTTTAAACCTTAGTCTGTAATGGAAATAATGGTATTTATGTCTTCTGGTTTTGGTGCGCGTTAAATGAGATAATACATGTAACCATTGGTTCATGATGATGCTTATTTTATCACCTGTTAATGCTTAAGAGGTGATAAACATTGTCAGATGCCAACAGTGGAAGAAAAAACAACACTTTTAAACTGAATAGGTTTTCACCACTAGCATTTTTCTTTCCTTGAATGTTGTGGGGGTGGGGGTGGGGGTGGTGGCAGAACCACATGTATTTAGCTTTAGCAGTGAAACTCCAGATTTCTGCTAGAGCATGGCTTGAGAGGTGCCCAGAACCAGGTAGAGCAAGTCCAGGGCTCTTTTTCACTACATAGCTGTAACTATGCTGCATGCTTTGATTTTATCATAGGAGGCTTCTAGTATAACCTCTGTACAGGACACAGAAAATACAGTTTTTGTGCACTTTGACTAATCAAAAATTAATATGCTTGAAGTCATCACTTGGGGTTTAGAGAGCTTGAGTCTTTTGTTCTTCCAATTTTCTTTGTTCTTTTTATGCTTTCTTTTATCTATCCATTTTTCCCCCACTCCCTTCTAGGACATCCCTAAAGAGAAGGGAAATTCACCAGAGAGCAGCCTGGAGAATTGGAGTGTGGATATGTAGACAAATAACCTTGCTTTGGTTATTGGGAGACTTGCATAACTTTCTTGAAATTGGCTCTTTTTTAACACCAGCCAGCAGCTAAAGTCACTGTCCATTTAGGTCTTGCTGCAGGAACCTCAGAGAAAAAAAGACAAAGAGAAGTAAAATACGGCATTCATGAAGTGAAGTCTATTATGGTGGATAAGTTAATAGAGTGGCAGCTGTAGTTTCTCTTTGATAACACACCAAATCTGGAATTTTTGTAAATCACCACAATTTGGGTAGTGATCA